CACAGAAATGCTTTTCTTTTCAACATTTTAAAAAAATTGGTTTCAAACGTAACAATTAGTAGATTTGCCATAAATTTCCAAAATCCTGGTTTTCTTGAACAATCAGGTGATCTAGCAAAAACACATCCTTTTAACATCTGGCAATGACCAACCGAGACAGAGTGGCACTCGCTCCCTTCCATTGGGGGGGGGGCGCGTCGCTTGCTCCGGCCAGGGACCCACCTGGCCCACCCGCCGTCCAAAGAGATCGCCCCGAGTCGTAGCTCAGCGTGAACAGCCTTTAACGGTTTCCCTGACCGGCCCTCTTCACCCCATTCCCCGCCCGCGTCTCCTCCACGTGCGCCCTCGTGGTCTTAATCAAAGCACTTAACGATTTATACGTGTGCTGCATTTCTTAGTCTGTCCCCGTGGGGCAGCGGGCTGGCCTCCCGTGCGCCCAGCCCTGGGACAGCCGGCAGGCACCCCCGGTCCTGGGGGCCAGGTGTATGGGTGGGCGCGACGGCCACCAGGGAGGTTGGGATCCGCTCTGCGAGGGGCGTCTTCGGGCCTCTCGGCCCCTTGTTCCCTCTTCTATTTCTGTAACCTCACGCCGCGGGGTGACCCCGGGCCGACTTCCTCAAACCTCTGACGAGCCGCCTCTGCGCTCCGCGGTCAGCTCCTCGTCGATGCCGCGGTCCCTGGCGCGGCCGCTATGCTGCTGAGGCTCTTGCTGTTGACCTGCGGTGAGTAGCACAGCCCGGGGCGGGTTGCGCCTCGTCAGGGGCGGGGGGCCTGTCTCTGGGCTCCCCGGGGCTGGCTCTCTGCCCGGCGATGCCCAGCTCTCTGCTTCCTCCCGCGGGCTCAAGTCAGGCAGACAGTGGTAGGTGCTGGAAGCCGCGTTTTTTGAAAGAGAAGGATCCTTTTAGCTTTTCTCTCGCAGGAAGTGTTCACCGCCTGTGTCTCTTTGTCCCTGTCATTGCTGGCTTCGTTCTGGGTGTCTTCGACAGGCACAGAGGGAGCTCATCCGACAAGGTTCCTTGTCCCGGGGGTTCCTGGCCCTTCTGACTACAAACGTGATTTCTCTTTATCTTTTCACGACCGCCCCATTCCTCCCATCAAACCCCAGAACTTATCGCCGACAGCCGCCCCCTCAGATCTTTGCTATCAGCCTCTGCCCCCCACACACACACGCTGAACACGCTGAGCACGGGGTGTTCCCACACGCTGAGCACGGGGTGTTCCCAGACACGCTGAGCACGGGGTGTTCCCAGACACGCTGAGCACGGGGTGTTCCCAGACACGCTGAGCACGGGGTGTTCCCAGACAGTGACTCTTCTCTCCGTCGCCTCTGGACTTGTGACTTCAGTCACCACGTCTGTCACCCCCCTTGTGTGTGTTCGCGTACGGACCTGTCTTCCCTGCCACACTGTGACTTCCTGGCACTTGAGGAACGTGCACTGTCACCCTGGTGTACTTAGGGTGTGTGCCGCTGCACGATGCGTGTTGCCATTTTTGGAGACCAGTAGGGGACCCCCCTTTCTTACTCGCCCAAACTTGAAACATTTGAGAGTGACGGGTCACATAGAAGGGATCAAACTTCAGCTTTCTCACCAATAAAAATGACCGTGGAGGAAGTGACTCAGCTGTGTGACCCCAGTGGGTTCCTTGGAAGCCGCCCCAAGGTGGCCAAGCTGAGCACGCTCTGAATCTATGGATCAAATAAGTCACTTCTCCTCGGTAATGTCCTTCCTGGGTTCGGGGAGAAAATCTTTTATGGAAATGTGAGGAGCACCGGGTGTGTCTGTCTAGGAGTCCACGGCAGAAATCCCGTAAATAAGAGAGTAATCAGTAATATTAATCCCAAGAGGAACTCAAAGCGAGAATGCGTGTCAGTAGCCAGCCGCCATCTGTGGTGTGGCGCGTTAGCATTTGCTGCGGTGACAAGCTACCTCGGTGTCTCGTGGCTTTGTGTCAACGTCCCTTTCTTGCACAGACAGGCTCAGCGCGGGCTGCGGGCCGCCGCTGCCTGCGTCCGGTCTGCTCGTCCGGGACGTGGACAGCCAGGAGGAACCTCGCAGCGAGGGTGAGTGTCGGCGTCAGTGTGGACGCAGCCAACGCCTTTCACGCCCGCACCCCATCGACCAAAGCACGTCACAGAGCCAGGTCCAACCCAGTGACTCACAGACACCTGCTCCTCCCGAGGGAGACTCCGGTGAGTAACCTGACGGCGAGGGCAAATCACACATACGTTTAGATTTACGTTTCTTATAGGAAGGGAGCCAATTTGAAATGAGTTTCTTTTCCTCTGTGGGTCGCACATTTTTCATCCATAAACGTGGGAGGGAAGCATCCTCCCCGGACCACAGGCCGGGGCACCCTGCCCAGCCAGGCTGAGCCGCCCCTGACCTAGACCGTGGCAGCGCCCCCCC